CCCCCCCCCCCGGCTCCGCGCGGCCCTCACCCCGGGCCTCCACCCCTTTCCGGGTCGAAAAGCCACGCGAGCCTCGTGGGGGCCCGAAAGGTGCAGGTCCCCTCGCAGTCGGGAGCGATGGCGTCACCCGGTTCAGCAGGGCAGCCACTCTCGGTCACACGCACACGGACACACATTCAACACACAGTCTCACACAACTACTCACAGACACAGGCTCAGACACACTCAGCCAACATGCGTTCTTACACACTGTCCCTCACACTCAGACACACATGCTCACAAGACATGCATACTCTCACAGACATGTTCACACGCTCTCGGAGACACACTTGGTCACAGACACGATCACGTGCTCTCACACTTGTACACGCATTCACACACCCATGCTCCCTCACACCCATGCACACGGCACACTCTCACACATACACACTCGCTCCTACACTCGTTCCCTCTCGTCCGCACGAGCAGGTGGTGGAGCTGAAGGAGACTTGCGACATCTGGGCCCTGATCTCCTTCACTAAGCGGGGAGCTGTCTCAGCGTTGGTTTGGTTGGCATTTCCTTGCTCCCTGGGGTCCTCCCACACCCAGGAAGTTGTGTCTTGGTCAAGTGCAAAGAGTGTGGCCACTTTGCCATAAGCTGGCCTGGGGCCCCAGGACAGAGATCCTGCTGCCCCGCGCACCCCTCTCCTCCCTGGACCCCATGCCTTCAGGGGCGTGTGCAGCCTCCAGAGCCAGGGCACTTACTTCTCCAGGGGCCTCGGCCCTCTGCCCCCCCAAATCATGAAGGATTCCCCATGGTCCTCTAAGACGGTGTCCAGTCCGGCTGGGCCTGGCAAGATGGGGCGCAATGGACGGCCTGTCTCTGCGAGGCTCCAGGCCAACCAAAGAGCAAGGCCACCTCTGCACAAGTTTACAAGTTAACACTGAGGAGGTGGAATGATGTTTCCTTTTTCTCTGCTCTGGAAGGCTCATAAAGACCCCCAGACCAGCGCTGAGACCTGTGTGACCAGCTTAAGCCAGGCTCCCTTCTTATATTTCTCCAATGACTTGTTGAATAGAGGCAGGAAGTCCAGCATCTCCTCTGGAGACTTCCTCTGTGGAACATTCCAGAACCCTCGACAGTCCACGGCTCTGGCCCCATCAGCCCGACTGGTACTTGTTCTCCAGCCACAGAGGTGGCGACTCGGCCAGGCTACAGCAGCGCCCCTGCTTGGGCCACTGAAAGGGCACAGCTGAGTTCAGACAGAGACCCCAAGATGGCTGTTGTTCCCCCAGCACCCATGTCAGGGCGACAGGCCAGCCCCAGCCAACCCTCTCACACAGACTCCTGGGCTCCAACCCGAACCTAGGTCACCAGATGAGCGCCTCCTTCCTTCCCTCTCCGTGGCTTCCTCTCCAGAGCTTTGGGTGTCCTTTCCTGCCTGTCAGAAGCCGTAAAGACCCTGCCCTCAAAGGGCAGGGTCCACACTGCTTCCCACACCCCCGGCTCCCAGGCCTCTGTGTATCCGCCCATCTCCTCCCAGGTCCCCAGGCCTGCTCAGGCCACAGTCCTGGGACACTCAGCCGGGTCACACTCCCACCTCCTGCCTCACACTATATTGGGATCTTTTCAAGACTTTGCCAAAATCAGAGTTTGCCAAAAATTCTCTAGGCTGGACTATTCTTGGTTCTTTTAAAATAAGCAACAAGGTAGAAGTTTCAAAGACCCGTCAGAGAGGTTTTCTACAACTCGTTTTATCCTCTACCAAAGCAGTATCAAGCAGCATTCAGAATGAATAGATTCAGGTACAAGCCGTGGTTGAGCCCTCTGCTGGGGAGTGAGGACCTGCTCCTTCTCTTCTTCCCCTTCCTCCCCCTTCTTTCTTTCCTCCAACCGTCTGAGCAGTTCTGGATCCCCTGCTTTGGGGAATTGGAGGGGGAGCAGCACAAAGAAGTTTGCCCCAAACAGGGCAACGGCTTTGGGGGCGGGCGTTCTGTCCTCCGCAGTTTCGGCCGCTGGGCAGCCGTGATGAGCAGCGAGGAGAGCCAATCACAGCTCTCCTCGCTGCATTTCAAAGGCAGAGCTCTCTGTTCCCTATGGCAACGTGTAACAACAAGCTGACACCATTTCTGGACAAAGAAATTTCTCGCAGGAATTTATGTAGCATTACGTGTTCTGTTTGCTGCATTTCTGGGAGAAGTGCACACAGATATTAGAGTGACTCAAGTACAATGGCTCAGAAGCCATTCCTGTCTGTCTTCCAGAGAGGAGGAGAAGGTATCCACTGTTTAGTGTAAGGGGTCTTCAGGCCTACGAGAGGGGTTTCATCAGATCTCTCCCCGAGTGTGATGATCAGACACGCAAGTGACACCTCCCCACTCTGAGACCATCAGCTCCCGTGGTTCTGTCTTGGGCTGAAAAGTGCTAGCAACTTCTCCCACCGAAACGTATGAAATACCACCTCAGGTGGGCCTTGGCACCTGGCAGAATCAAAAAGAGTTCCACCAATTGTTCAGACAGGTGGCTTCCAAACTTTTTGAATGCACTTTGCGTTACAAACCCCTTGTGTATAACACATGTGCATTTATACACACACATATGTAACAATGCTTAATCTCAAACATGGGGTGTACTCTGTTATTTTCTATTCCATTCCATTTATTTTTTAAATGCTGCTTGTGACTCTCTTAACTCACTGTTGGTTCATGACCTGAAGTTTGAGAACACTATCATAAACTAAAACAGCTGCTGAAGGTGGTGGAAGTGGCCTGGCGTTTGGGGGTGGTCATCGTGGGAAAGCACCCCTCTCCCTCCTGCTCCATCGTGAGTGTGCACTGCGGTGCTGGGCTGCAAAGCCAAGGACTCCAGCCCCCCTCCCCTGCCCAGCCCAGTCCTTCAAGTAGACCCTGGCTAACAGCAGAGGTGCCCCTTCTCCGGACAGGGATGGCCAAAAACAAATGCAGAGGAAATGGGGCCTGGAGAGGCCCAGGAGGCCTAAGGGTGGGTATGCAAACACAGCCACGGGTTTCGTGCAAGTGATGAGAGAAGGGAAGGCAAGGTGGGAGATTTGTATAACTGGCCACAGAAAGTTTTAATTTTCTCTCATTTCTGTGGGCCTCTTGGGAAGATGAAGTTATCCTCATTTTAGGGAAACCTGGTTTGGGATTTGGGTGCACGCTCACACACACACACACACACACACACACACACACACACCCCACCAGCAGCTCTGGCACTTCCCCAGTCCTTCAGCAGTACATGAGCCCCAGGTAAAGGCCAGCTTCCCACAGGCAGCCTTGACTAGAACCCCAAACCCACACTTCGCTTCCGAAAAATAAATTCAACTCCACCAAGAAAGGGGGACACTTTACTGCAGGCCCCATGGGAGACGGGGAGAGGGTTTGCAGCAAGCTCTCACAGCAAACTCATGAAACCCGTGAGAGGCTGAGCGCCTGCCTTACAATCCCATTCAGAGGCTCCACCTGCCTTTGCGGTCACCGTCCCTCTCCCCCAGGTGGGCTCCTCATAGCCTCTTTGTCCCCCCACAACTCAGCTCCGGCCTTAGCTGGCAGACCCTGCTCGGCACACAAAAGCCAGTGGCTGGTGGAGCAGTGCCCTCGGGGGACCCAGCTCCTCCCACCCCGGCAGCACCCAAAGTGAGCTCTGCTCCTCCCAGCACATTAGAAATGAGGGAGAAGGTTATCGGGTCCAAATCAAGTCTTGGATTAACGAGACCAGCTGTTTAAAGTACAAGGGTTCTAAATCGTCCAAGCTGCAATATGCCATCTCACTACGAACAAGTGCAACTGCGGTGCCCTTCCTCCTCTCTCCAGGCTGGTGAGGACAAGCCTGAAATATCACGTGATGCTGGATCAAAACAGCTTACTCCACCTTCCCCTGGTCCCTCAGTTCATTTGGTCAAGACCTGCTTGCTGAGCACGACCCCTGCCCAGCTCTCTGCTAGCATGAAACCAACGAACCACTCGTCCTTTGGGAGTTTACCTTCCAGCAGGTGTAGACCAAATAAGCAAATCACAAGCGAATCTACAACAAGGGCTGCGGCCAAAGCTAGAGAAGAGGAGGGCAAGGAGGGAGGCCCGGAGCAAGGGGCCGAGGGCTGGCGGGCCAGGCGGCATCTGAGCGCAGGCCCGAAGGAGGAGAGGAGGGTGGCATGCGGACATCCGTGGGCAAAGCATCCGGGCAGCGGGAACAGCATCGGTAGACACCCTGAGGTCAGTGAGCATTGGGGAGGCCGGTGTGGCTACAGCCAGTGAGCAGGGGAGAGTCACAGAGGATGGAGGTGACGTGGGGCTTTGGGGAGGGGTGGAGACGCAGGGCCTTGTGGGTCATCACCAGGACTTTGATTTTGCTCCGAGGTAGGGGCCCTTGTAAAGTTGATTGATAGCTTGCGTTCTGCCCAAACTAACCCTGCGTTTGATCATACTTCATTGTCCTTCAGCCAATAAACATGTGCCGGGCACTGGGCAAATCCAAAGGGCGGGGCGTGACTTTGCCGCGTGGTGGACGTGATCACAGCCAAGGACGCCCGGCTCTGGCAAACGGGCACACGCACAGGTGTGAGCCAGCAGCCAGAGACACAGACCTCCTGGGTGCCGGGGGGGGCGTGTGGTGTGAGCCCTCGGGCCCAGTGACCCACATGCGGGACTCTTCCAAAGGAATAAGACCAAACGCCAGGAAACCGCTAGGTACCTCCCACCTTCAAAGCCAGAGAAAGGGAGTGGGTATCACCCCTTGTCTGGCGGCCATCAGGGTGGTGTTCTAAACCCAGCCAACGCTCAGAGTGCCGCGTTTGCTATCGGATGGGGGCGAGAACCCAGAGCACACTGCCTGTAGGCCAAGCACCGCCGTCCCGTAGGCCAGGGCTCTGGCCACAGCACTGCTGTCCCCACAGAGCGGCCTTTGCGGAGCTGCTCTCAGTGGCCGAGGCCCTAGGAGGAACCGAGGGGCCGTGGTTGTCACCTCAGACCCCATGGCTGCCCCTTGCTCACCTGTTCCACCCACACTGGTCTCCAGGGAGCCTCCGTGGACCCAGGCTGACTCACCCTCAGGGCCTTTGCCCACGCTGTTCCCTCAGCCCAGAATGCTCTTCCCCCAGCTACTTACATGATTTACTCTCTCTTCCTTGGGGTCATAGACAGTTGAGGGGATTCCAGATCAAAGATTCGTTCCCAGGACTCACCACAGTGCACCTCCAAATGGGCCCCTGGCCTGACACGATGCCAGGGACAAGCTCCCCAAAATACCCCAGGGATGAGTCCCCTTGGAAAGGTGAACAGGAGGAATTCACTCGAGCAGGAGAATTCTAGAGCAGGAATCAAAAAAGCAGAACTCAGCTCATGACTAACTAGCTGTATGATCTTAGGAAGGCACTTTACCTCCCTGGCCCCGGGTTTCCCCTTTTGCAGAACGGAAATATGACTGCCTGCCCTACCCCAAGGGGGCTTTGAGAAGGCGGCTGAGGCCAGTGGGGACCATGCAGCCAGTGTGTCCCTGAGAGGTGTCATGATACCCAGAAGGCAGGCACAGGGCTGCGTTTCTGATGCTGTTGCCTTCATTACATAAAAAGGATTCACCCAGATCTCCGGGGAGGGAGGGATTGTTTTAATTTCAGGTGTCCGTGATCAACTACCATGAGTAACCGTCACATCTGCCCCACTGTTTTTCAGGGACGTTACCTAATGCTTTCTCATCACACTGTCGGGGATGTTAAATTGACGACAAACTTGCTTATCAATTCCCTGAAAATTGTTTTCTGAGGGATTGGTCCTCAGACCTACGCTGTGGATACGACGAGCTGTCAGAATTGTGCCAGCCCCTTCACCTGGGATGTGGTGTTTTCCAAACTGCAGTTTGTAATCTACGAATTGGTTGAAAACTCAGTTCAGTGGGTATGACCGGCATCTTTTTAAAAAATGAAATGAAATAAAATAAAATAGGAAATAGCAAAATGCTTCTTACTTACTAGGTCGGTGTCGTTTTGTGAAACTTTTGTTTTAGTTCTGCATGGGTATACACAGCTAAGTTTGTCTGTCCTGAGGTAAAATGCATTTCTCCTTGTAGGTTCTGGTGCAGACGTTCGAAAAGCCACTATGCTAATGGAAACATGAATCAAGTGTATGTAGTTTAAAAGTTATTTTCCTCACGTGTGCTGACACATCTGTCTCGTGTGCCCTGCCCGTTGGAATTTCCACCCACTCTGGGGTGAAATACTCAAAATTAGTAGCATCTGGGTTAATGAGGTTTGTTATATTCAAAAAATAAACGATGGTGCGGTTCACCTTGCATGTGTCCTTCTGAAGAGTCCTGAGCGGAGGACCCTGGGCCCGCTTCTCTGTCCACTCCACTGCCAGAGGCTTTGGTCCACTTGGCCAGTTCCCTCACTCTCTCCTTGGTGGAAAGCCCTGGGCAGCCCTTAAAACATGTGGCTAAGTGAATCAAGGCAGGAAGGAAGGGAGGGAGGCAGGGAGGAATGAGTGGACCATCTGCCCCAGGCCAAATCTTTCCCGTCCACTTCATGTACCTCCAGTTTTGCTTCATCAGTAAGCGGCCCCCCACTCGGGACTCTGGCCTGCGGGTGGGGTCAGGGCTGGGGCCACCTCCAAGCCATCGCACAGGAGAGGTTTACCGTGCGGTCGTCTGTCTGGAAGAGCGTCTGAGGGCTTATCCTGAATCCTCATTGCCAGCGCAAGCGCAAGTCCTCTGTTTAACGTGTGGATTTGGGGCAGATCTGGGGTTGTTGAAGGTTGGCGGTCTTTGGCCACCCCTTGGGCTCACCACTGAGGGCGGATTCAGAGGAAACCCGGGGCCTGGCATGCGCCCGCCCCAGGCCGATCAGGAACCCGCTCTAGAACCCTGCGGAGTTCACGTCTGGGGGAGCTCCACCCAAGCAGCTCTTTGTTCTTTCTTCCCAGGTTGTGTCTGGGGCAGCCCAGTTGTACTTGCGTCTTGTGATTCACTTCAAACGTGTGATCAGAAAGCCAGCTGCAACCGAACTTGGGAGCAGTTTAAGGCCTCGAGCATAAGCTGAGGCCGCTGGTGGGTGAGCCAGTGTGAAGGAATACAGTCCAGCCCATCCGTCCACAGTGGGGATGGAGTTTCCAATCTGGAGGCCAGAAGGGATCTAATTAGCCCTGCAATGGCCGTACCTCCTCTGTCCTGGGTGACAAGGATAAAACAGCAGATTAACAAACTCAGGCTGTCCTTACCGCTCTGGCTAATCTATTGCTCTAAGACGTTCATTTCCATGGATGATTTGCAACGCGGGTGATTTTTCAAACTACCAAGTTTGAATTTCCCTCTACAAGCTCATTTCGCAGCGGGGAGGCTAACACTGCTCTGTGCTGATACCTAAAATGACAGCCTTGGGGCTTCCTTAAGTAAATAATTACTTTCTTTGTAATTAGCAGGCTACCTCAACACCCTGCTTCACCAGTCTAACAAAAGCTTGCTGAACACCAGCTCTGCGGTACTTCCTAAAGCTGGGGAGGCAGAGCCGGCGTTAGGAGCCGTGAGGACATGACTAAAGGGACAGGACTGGTGCAGGTGTCCACCTGGGCTCTCTCCTGACCCTCTGGCCCAGGGCCCAGGTGTCTTGGGCCCATCCCTGCACCTCTTAGGTGGTGTTTTGGGGGCTAATAAGAGCCAGCAGCCAGTTTAAGTCAGTGGGCCAGAGCTCAGGTGAGACCTCCCCGTGAAGTTGCCCCGCGGAGGTGAGGCCCGCGGGGGTAGGGGACACTCAGGCGCTTGGGCCGTGAGGCAGGGCGGCTGCCCCAATGGCTGTGTTGACAGGAAAGGGCCTTTCCTCCCTTGCTGTTTCTTTTTGAGTATGAGGCAAACTAAAAAATTTCCCCACAGATGGTTAAGGAACCAAAATCGGACGCTCTAACTTTGGTTTGGGGATTTTATTCTTCTGACGGAGCACTTCATTCTGCAACTCCAAATGCAGAAACTGCGCAGCCAGGGCCCCCCAATCAAGGCTTTTCTGGGCAGCGGCTTCCAGGTCGCTCCCCGGAAAGGGTACCGTGGACCCCGGGCTTCCCTTTGACCCTGTCCTCTCCGGGAAACAATTTGAATAGGCCTGCGTCTGCCTGAAGTCACCTGGGTCGCTAGGAAACGGGACTCGGGTAAATGTGGCGTCTCTTGATTCCCCAAAGAAAACAAAAAGTCAGAAAAGGATTAAGGAAGAGTTCCCCAGTTTGTCCAGAGCCTTGATTCCACTTCTTCTCCCACCATTTTTAAGGATAAATAAGATGGACTTTGCCCCAGGATCAGTAAAAAAATACCATCCACTTACGTATCTCTGAAATAGTCATTCATTCATCCACTTAAAATGTTTACTGGACACTTGAGGAATGGCATCTACCCCGAGTCTGTTCCACTTGTAAACCCCCCAAAGCTGCCCAGCCCTGCGGGGGGGGGGGGGGATTGCAGCACCCCACTCTGTGAGCCCAACTCATGCTGCTAGTAACTGCCTTTGAAGGCATCTCCCCGACCCCCTCTTTAACCTCGCTCTGTGCGAGCTTCGAGCTTCATGACCCCTGGGGTGGACTTGGAAACGAGGCAGCCGTGAACTCGCTGAATGTGATTTCAGAATCGTGTATTGTGAGGTTTTTGCCCCTGGACAAGGGTCCAGCTGTCACCATATTGTCAGAAGACCTGAAACCCTAATAATGCAGTAGAATCTCTGACATTTGCCCAGAAAACAAGACATCCTAAACGTACAACTCCTAATACCTTTTGTAATTAGGCCAAATCCAGTAGCATCGTTCAGCTACACACATAGAAGTTGGGATCTTTCAAAAATGCTGGGATTGGGCTTCCCTGGTGGTGCAGTGGTTGAGAGTCCGCCTGCTGGTGCAGGGGACGCGGGTTCGTGCCCCGGTCCGGGAAGATCCCACATGCCGCGGAGCGGCTGGGCCCGTGAGCCATGGCCGCTGAGCCTGCGCGTCCGGAGCCTGTGCTCCGCAATGGGAGAGGCCACAACAGTGAGAGGCCCGCGTACCGCAAAAAAATAAAAAAGATTAAAAAATGCTGGGATTTCCTCCAAGCCATTCCCTGCCACTCACAACCCCTCACCACACCTTCCTATCGTCCGCCTGCCCCTCACCATCCCCACAACCCTCCCCTGCTCTTCCCCCCACCCCGTCCCTCTCACGCCTGCCACTCACCATTCCTCCCCCATCACTCCTCCGCCAGCCACTCTCCCCGTACCATTCCTCTACCCACCACCTCCAGCCTCCTGGGTGATGAAGGGTGTCACTCATCCCCCAGACCCAGCTGCTAAGCACAGGCTAATGAGTGGGCAGCCTTTGTGGCTGGGAACCAATGCCAATGCCTTTAAACCGTATCCTAATCCTGAAGGCTCTGACCCCAGGAACCAGCTCTTTCCTGGCCCTTCCCCGCTCTCCCAGTCCTTGAAAACTCTAGGTCCTCTTGTCTTGCAGAGTTGCACTCCCAGGATTACGGATCTGCTCCAACAGGCTGGAGGGGCACACAGCAGGCGGAGAGCATGTCCAGACAAATTTCGGGTCCTTTGGAAATGGGCGTGCTTCCAGAGTTTCCAACAGAGAAGACCTTTAACCGACCCCAGCACCGTCCCTTCCGCTGGGCAACCACAGAGGCACCTACTGTTCTGGAAATTTCTCTCCTGCATCCTCTAGTGGAAAGGAGGTTAGAGGGGCAGAATGGCTTGCCGGAGACATGGAAGATCTGTCTGGCTAAAGACATGAGGGCCCTGAGGTGTAGGAACTTTCATGAACATTCATGGACACTACTGTGAGCTAAGCAGTTTGAGAGGCTCTGGGGGTGGAAAGACAAATGAGACTAAAAGGCCACACACACACACACACACACACACACACACACACGGTGACCTGTGCAGGAGTGAGAATGGAGGACCAGCAGTTTGGACACAGTAGCCCAAGTCCCGGGGAAACCCCGTCTTATCTGTGTTCCTCATGATAATAGGAAGATGGTCACGGTCTAAGAAGATCAGTGCACAAAAAATTAGATAAAAACTTAGGGGCTTAGACAACAGCAATCATTTTATTATCTCTCACTGCTTCTGTGGGTAGGAATTCGGGAAAGGTTTAGCTGGGTAGGGTCTCTGTCGGGCTCAGTCAGACGATGGCAAAGCATGAACGGTGCGGGGCTGGCCAGGCATCACTCCAGGCGGGGCGCCTGGGCTCCCTCACGACTTGGCAGCCTCAGGGTCGACAGGCAGGCTGAGGGCTTCAAGAGCAGGCTTCCAGTCAGCACGGCAGGACCTGTATCGCCTTTGATAACCTTCCACTGGAAGTCACGTAGTGTGCCTTTTGCCATTCCCTGGTGGTTACAAGCTAGTCACCAGCCCACCCAGATTCAAGGGGAGGGGACACAGACCCCACCTCTCAACAGGAAGAGTGTCCAGGGCACACTGTGGAGAAACATGGACCCATTGGCTGCAAGCCCCGCCCCCCAGGCAGAGCGGAAGAATATAAACTGGGGTGCGTGGCTCTCATGAGCTGAGGCCATTCTCTGGAGGAGAAGCAGCTTTGTTCGTGGCCAGCACGCACAGCAGCTGGGGAACGGATACACCAGCCCTGTAAAGGTGGTCTGGGGGGACTCTGTGGTCGATTGCAGAACAGGCACAAATCCCACCTATCCCTGCATCCATGCCCTTTTGCACTTGACTTGGTTCTTTTTCCATCAAGAGGGGTCTATTCCCCACTCAGGTCTGGGCTTGGCCATGTGACTTTCTTTGGCCAATGGGACATGAGCAAACATGATGCCCGCAGAGGTTTGAAAAGTGCTCGTGTATTGGTTTATGCTCTCCTGTGGCACTTGGAACCCTGAGAGTATGGGAACTAAAGCAAGCTAACTCCCAAAGGGCCACATGGAAGGGAACCAAGGCATTCTGACCAATAGCTTTCACCTGCCTTCGCCTGCCAGAAATGCGTGTCAGGCTGTCCTGAATCATCCAACCTCAGCTGAGCCACATGAGTGAGCCCAGGCAAGACCAGTAGAACCACCCGGCTGAGCCCAGCCCAAATTGCCAACACACGTCATCAAAGGCCAATAAGGGCTTGTTATTTTAAGTCACTAAGTTTCTGGGTTGTTTGTTATACATCAAAGCTAACTAATACAGGCACCAATAGTGTCCACTACAACAAAAAAATTTTTTAAAGAAAAAGAAACATAAGGAACAGAGACTTCCCTGGCGGTCTAGTGGTTCAGACTCTGTGCTTCCATTGCTGCGGGCATGGGTTTGATCCCCGGCTGGGGAACTAATATCCCACATGCTG